GTCCAATGTCACACCCATATTTAGGGTGTAACATGGAACATGGTGCCATTCCACAGCCCCCGCCCTCACCTGAATGGAGGGGTGCTTCGCCCTGCTGGATCCTGGATTTTGTTAAATCGGCTGTACGTGGCGCCGTCAATCATTATTACATTCATTCACATGATCTATGAATTAAAAATCTACAGATCCTGTCTGCCACCATGGTACAGGGACATGCAATTCTCAATGGTGCACAATTGTGGTGACGTCGCAGCACTTGTAGTCCATTGATAACTTCCTCCAGCTCCATTATAGAAGAGCTGTACCTCTGTACAGATGGGCTGGAGGAACAATCTGCAGGAGCCCGAGCATTGCTATTCGCAGTTGCAATGCAGTGCAGGCTCCAACGCAAAAAAATAATACACTCATTTTTTTCATTTTTACAATATGGGTGCATTTATTGATTTTTTGCACAAATTGCACTATGCCTTTAATTTACATGGCAACTGATCTGACTAAGGCCCCATTCACACTGAGCGACATGAAAATCGAGCGATTTTGAGCGATATTGCGCGACGAGCGATATTGAGCGACTTATCGCGCAACTTTTTTCCCTATTGGGCTGTATGCAATCAGGAGCAATATCACACGAAAAAAGGGTCATGTAGGAGCGACAAGCTACCAGCGACGAGCTACAAGCGATATTGAGGGACGAGATGTGAACAGCTCCATTGAAATGGATTGGAGAAGCTACATAGAGTGATATCGCGTGGAAAAATCGCTCGATAAATCGCTCAGTGTGAATGGGGCCTAAGTGTTTCATGCTCCTAGGCCAGGGTTGGGCAACTCCGGCCCTCCAGCTGTTGTGGAATTACTAGTCCCATGAGGCACTGCAAGACTGACAGCACAGGCGTGACTCCCAGAGGCATGTTGGGATTTGTACTTTAAAGCACAGCTGTCTTAGACAATGAAACAAAATGCTGACAGTTTGTTATATCCAAAATTTGGGTTAACCTTAACTAAAAAAAAAAAAAAAAAACAACAGACAAATTAGCTTTTAGCATTTATTACTGGCAATGTTTTCTGGTGCTTATTGGTAACTGCGATGCACTTTACTACACAGATAAATGTTTTGAATTGGTAAACCGGTCATTCATTCATGGCCCTGGCTTTGGGAAGGTCCTGTTGCTAGGCATGGTTACCATGGCAGCACAACACACAGAAGTGTATAGAGGACAGGAAGCATGCTGGGGCCTGGTGTATAAAGCATTTCCTACCTGCTATTGATGAAGCTTGGGGTGGTTGCTATGGGTGACATTTATCCCCATTCACAACTGCGCGTGTTTCTAGGCTATTTTAAATGTTTTTGGTAGGTTTGAATTGGTTGCCACGGGTAACCACCCTTTGCTTGTAAGGCCCCGTTCACACTGAGCGATTTATCGTGCGATTTTTGCAGCGATATCGCTCATATTTCCGCGTGATATCGCTCTATGTAGCTTCTCCAATACATTTCAATGGAGCTGTTCACATCTCGTCGCTCAATATCGCTTGTCGCTGGTAGCTTGTCGCTCCTACATGACCCTTTTTTAGAGCGATTTTGAGCGATATTGCTCCTGATTGCATACAGCCCAATAGGAAAAAGTTGCGCTGCTCATCGCTCAAAGTCGCGCGATTTTCATGTCGCTCAGTGTGAATGGGGCCTAAGGCTGGGTTCACACCTAGGCGACAGCCTTATGCACGTTTTTATGCATTTTATGTGCACGAACCAAATTGCGGGTTTTGTGAGCAGATTGTAGCTCATTGATGTTAAAGGAGAACTATGAGGCGAGTTATTTCCACTCACCTCATAGTTCTAGCCGACCTGTGACAATGAGACTGTCACAGGTCGGCTCAGTAGATCGGGAAGTGAGCGAACAGATACCGGCGTTCGCTCACTTCTCCATCCTGTCACAGCTCTCTGCCGTGACAGGGGAGGGGGCTGGATTCCCCCCTCCCCGCTCCGATCCGCCAGCGCTGACTGGCGGAACGGACGGGGGAGGGGGCGGGTACAGCTGGCTCTGCCTTTAGATAGGCAGAGCCAGCTGTCAGTCACGCAGCTGGGCGGATCCCGGCACAATTGTCGGGATCCGCTTCAGCTGCGGCGTCTCAGTATACCGCGAGCTACAGCTTGCGGTATACTGAGCCTAGGGTGACGGGAGGACGCTAGTTTGTGTCCTCCCTTTACCCTAAGGAGACTTAACCCCATAGTTCTCCTTTGATGAGCAAACGCGCATAAAACGTGTAGAAATGCGCAAAAACACAGCAAACACGCGTTTTCAAGCATTTCGTATTGAGTCTATGGGGCCAAGACGAGATGTAATATGCCAAAAAAAGTTGCTGTACTTTTTCCTGTGACAGGCGTTTTTGCTTATTGCGACAAAACGCTCAGATGTAAACAGGGCCATAGAAATTAATTAGATTTTTTTTTTTGGGGGGGGGGCATTTTTTTGGGGGCGTTTTTAGGGCAGAAAAAGCGCTACAAAGCGCTGAGTGTGAATCAGGCCTGAGGCAGAACCATAATAGCTAAATGAAGATGTGAGGTGCATGATAAAGTACATGCACAGACATTATTTTGAAGTGGAAGTGAAGTGTAATGAAGTGGGGAACTATTAGAACCCCTGTAAACCTTTTACTGCTGTCTACAACCCTATTGGGTAGGTTCCCCTCCTCTATCGGTCCTGGTGACCATTACTTCCCCTCACTTTGTAGAGGATTTTCTTTCACTTCTCTTACTGGGAAGAGGAAGAAAATAGAAATCTCACGCATCGGACAGCAAACAATAAAGCTGACAAGTATATTTTCGCCCAAGAACAGAAATTATTATTATACAGGATTTATATAGCGCCAATACTTTGCGCAGCGCTTTACAATATAAGGAAGACATTACAGTCACAATACAATTTAAGACAAGATGGTAAGGAGGGCCCTGCAATGGAACTACATTGCAGCTTACCAGTCCTAGGATGTCGTGACTGCATTAAGGCTGTGACACACTGCACGGGAAGCAGTACGGAGCGTTGGCGCGCTGCCTTCGCGAGCAGTGTGTCATGTCATTTTTCTCCTCGGCACGTCAGCTTGCGAGAGCTCGCTTAGCTGAGCGTGCCAAGATGAAAAATTTAATCTTCAGCCAATCGGCTCGCGCGCATAACCCCGCGCGTCAGCATGCGTCGTCTGGCTGGTTGTTACGCACGAGCCGATTGACTGAAGGTGCAGTCAATCATCTGACTGCACTCAGCTCACACACTGCACGCAAAGCTCCGTGCCAGACAGCTTTGCTTCGCTCTGCACGGCATTGCGTGCAGTGTGTCACGGGCTTTAGTTTTCTTTTCCAATAAACTTTTCAGCAAGTACATACATGTTGATCCTATCCGAAATCTTGTGTCTTTGTAACTTCCTGTGGATGGAGCAGAAATCTCCAACAATATGAACAGCTTTCTCACCTTTCTTCTAGGCAACTCCACTGTATGTGATGGAGATAAGAAGATCGGGAAAGCAGTCTAGAGTGACAACACTCCTCCATGGATACAACACAGTGAGCCAGCGTTGTCACCCTAGGACAAGAAGTGTGTTACAGGCAATATCAGGTGAAAAGAAAGGGGAGAAAAAAACAGAATGCAGCCATCAAATCTTGGGAAGGATAAGCTGCAATATATTCAGTTTTAGAGTGTAAGCCCTCACGGGCAGGGCCCTCCTTACCATCTTGTCTTGAATTGTATTGTAACCGTAATGTCTTCCTTATATTGTAAAGCGCTGCGCAAACTGTTGGCGCTATATACATCCTGTATAATGATAATAAATTACACTTTTGTTTTTGGGTTAAGATACATTACATGAGTAACATTTACACAATGCACCAATACGGATATAATAAAAAAAATGTGCATTTGTTATTCTTTTGCCTGCAGAGCATTGCAAACGCTTCTCATCTACTCCCAGCCCCAGATCTGTACCGAGGTGCGGACCTCCTGATATGGGGCTGGCTGGACAACAATTGCCACACCGTCACCACCCTGCTGCTGGCGCACTCTGCCATGGTAGCAGATTTGACCTGAGTATTTCCATTGAGCTAATCCAATCAATAGATTATGTGTCTTTGTGACTGGAGCCATCTATGCTCCAGCAAGAAGCATCCCACAGGTCAGGTGGGATGAGGGGCAGTTTGGGTTTTGGTGGGTGGTGTATGTGATCATGGTTTATGTTACACCCTAAAAATGGGAATAACATGAAACACGGCCAATAAAGTGGAGTTCACCTTAAATTCTTCCCTACTTTATCCAAAACTGGAAAGAAATTCCAGATACACAGAACAGTACAGAGAAAGTGATCTCCAGTTTCAGCAGGACAACATAGGACCTGATGCTACAGGACATGCTGGCACTTGTGGTCCTTCCGGAAGCTGATGCTCCCTGCAGGTGCAGACTGACCTCCTTGATAAGCTTGGCCTCTCCATGCTGTATCTCGTAGATCTGCATGATGCCGCTGCCCCTGGCCAGGTTCCCCAGGCACACAAACTTGGCGCTGCTCGGGATCCATTTGCAGTCAAACAACGTGTAATTCACCGACTTGTGTACATGAGCGATGATCTGCGGCTTCTCCAGCGGGGAACTCATGACTCTTCTATCACCCCCTGTACTGTTACAGTGTTCAACACTGACCCAAACACACAGGGACCGCCCACCTCTGCAACGCAACTGTCACTGCCACCTTGTGGGACACAAAGCTGTCTGGCGTGTGCCTGTTCTAAAGAAATTCAAAAGTACGGTTACGGTCGCAGTAACATCCCATTCTCTGTAAATCTCACAAATAGAAGTTGTTTTAATTAAGTTATATATCAAATGATAACGTTAAGGTGCAGTTCCGTTGAAACCATTTGGAATGTTTGAAACAGGCATATGATTGGGCGTCTCAATAAGTTCGCACAGGAAGTGACGTTTGTCAGGCTTCTCCTTTGACGTCATCCTGAAAAGGTTCTATTTTCGCCTTAGTGTCTAGCCCCGCCCCTTTGAGTGCCCGGATGGAAGCTGATTCGCACGTGTAGCGGCTGTCTGAGTGAAGTGTGAGCTCTGTAGACAAGATGGAAGCTGAGAGCCCAGCCGCCTCCTCCGAAGAGACCTTCACCAGTGTGACCAGCAAGAAGAGTAGGAAGCGAAGGGCGCCTGATGACAAGCCCATGGACACGGGGGAGCAGCGCAGCAAGAGGCCGGACTTTCCCCAGATATCGGGAGACAAGCTCATGGTGTGTGGTTGAGTGTGTCACATTTAGGCGACCAGCACTTCTCCAGGTGTTGCTGGGCTTCAGAAGGGTGCTACATCATGGGTGCACTCTGCCTATGTTTTCAATAGAGTATGGACAGTTAAATCCCTTTCAGTTTTTTAATTTTTTCCTATTGGGGGAGATTTCCTTTCACTTCCTCTTTGAAAGATGCAACAGGAAGTGAGAGTAAGCTCCTGTTCACATTTTTGCACTGCATTAAGGCCGTCCATTTACTCGAATAGGCTGCCTTGTGCACCGATACACACCAAGAAAAGGCGTATGTACTTTTTATCTGTAACACAACTCGCTGCAACACACCATATGTGTGTAGCTGCAGGACCTCAATCTCTACGTAATGAGCGTAGTTCCCCTCTAAGACTCACCATACGCTAATAGATTTCTCCAAAGGTGCTCAACAGCACCGATGGAGGCATTTCCCCCGCAGCCGGTATATTGTATTTTGACCCCCTGACTACCTGAACAGTCGCTTCATCTGATTGCCTCGGTCACTGTTCAGCTGACAATTTTCTGCCCAGATCCAGGGAGAGAAGTCAGGTGAGTAATTGACTTTTGCTGAGCTGTCCGGGCTGCACACTGTTAGAATGTTGGCTGCATATCTATCTGTGTGTGCCCGGCTCTATTTCTCCCAGGAAGAAGTGAACTCATCTGAAGATTTTCATGCACCTCCACTTCTTATGACCACTACCAAATATTGGATCTCCTCGCTTTCTGTACCGGGGTCATGATTAGAGCTGCAGCTAACGATTATTTTCAAAATCGATTAGTTGGACGATTATTGAGTTCGATTAATCGGTTAATCGGATAAAAAAATTAAATACATTTTAAAAAATTGCTCCAGTGATGGACTACTAGTTTGTATTGAGATTGTAGTCCATCACAGGAGCAAGCTTGGAGCGGTGGAAGTAAAGAAAAGGGAAAAAAAAGTGTGGTGTGCAATATAGTGAAATGAAAAGTGTAAAATTCGGACTCGGGGATCTTTACGGACTCGGGGATCTTTACACACACACACACACTAGGTTGGACTTGATGGACATGTGTCTTTATTCAACCTCAAATACTATGTAAAATTATACAGCAATTAATGTAGAATGGCAACGCCTATTAAGGACTACAAAACCCAGCAATAGTACATTATACAGCACAATGCAGAATACCACCAGCTATACAGGAGTACAACAAATCCCAGCAATAGTACATTATAGCTGGTGGTATTCTGCATTGCGCTGTATAATGTACTATTGCTGGGTGTTGTAGTCCTCTATAGCTGCTGGTATTCTGCAGTGCGCTGTATAATGTATTATTGCTGGGATTTGTTGTACTCGTCTATAGCTGGTGGTATTGCGCTGTATAATATATTATTCCTTGATTTGTAGTCCTCCATACAGCGCAATGCAGAATACCACCAGCTACAAAGGAATACAACAAATCCCAGCAATACATTATACATACAGTGTACAATGTATTGCTGGGATTTGTATTCCTCTATAGCTGATCTAATATACATCACAATGTACCATCAGGTATAGAGGAATACAAATCCCAGCAATACATTATAGAGCACCATGTGTGGGAAAGTGCAGGCTTACCTGAGCAGTCTTCCAGCAACTTGTTTCTGAGATCGGGCCTATTGTCATTCCCTCACGCCTGCTCCTCCTTACTTCTTCTCCCCGCGCACCTGTGCCGATCGTGGATTTGGGCGAGCAATGAGCGTGAGGCGGGAGGAGGTGTGGATGCGGGCGGGCCTGGCAGCGGCGAGCGTGAGGTGGGGAGGAGGTGTGGCGTGCAGCGTGTGTGGAGCCGTGAACAGGGCCAACCAATCGGAAGCCGATTAATCGATTATTGAAAAAGTTGACAACTTTTTCAATAATCGATTATGTCGATTAGTTGTTGCAGCCCTAGTCATGATCACCAGGACCAACAGGGAGGTTGGATCTTCCCAGCAGAGACACAGACAGACATGAACACCTGACAGTGGTCCCAGTCCATCCACAAGGAATGACTTAGACTTTGAAGCCAGCCAAAGCCGATCTCCTATCAGATAAAGCTGGGAAGGGTTAGAGCTCCTATCGGGTAATACCCCCCAATGTCCCTATTAACCCCTTAAGGACAAAGACCTTTTTTTTTTCTTTATATATTATAATCCACATTTTAGGCCTGTAAATTACTTTAAACCCCCAAAACATTATGCCTGTATTATTGTCGTCTCTCCGCCTGTATTATTGTCGTCTCTCCGCCTGTATTATTGTCGCCTCTCCGCCTGTATTATTGTCGCCTCTCCTCTCCAGGGTGATAAAGAAGAAATGAGAAAGATCCCTGTCCCCTCACATCGCTACACACCTCTGAAAGAGAACTGGATGAAGATCTTCACCCCAATTGTAGAACACTTACAGCTTCAAGTTCGGTTTAACCTAAAAACAAGAAATGTGGAGATAAGGGTAAGTGTTACCCCATAACAGGTTTGGTTAGGTGATGTATACCCAGTTCAGGACCATAGGATGTACCTGTGTGTGGTGGTTATACCAAGATCACAGCTGAGAGGACTTGCTCGGTGCTTCAATAGTTCACCCGCTGCTTCAGTGCCCCAGACTACCCAGCTCTCCTCTATTCAGTAATATAGTGATCTCTGCACCCTGGATTGTGATGCATAAACACAGTTATTACAGGCTGTTTGATGTGTCTCATACAGAAAGAAATATCAGTACTATGGAGCTTTTCACAACTCTCCATTCCACCTAGCTGTGATTAGTGATACGGGAGAGAAGAAGCAGTACAGGCTTCACAGAGCACACTGAGGTTCTCTCTCTCTCCATTTTTGTGGATGAAGTTGAGGGAAAGTGAAATGTTTAAGTGTTTGCTAGACACTATTAGTAGCTTATCGCTAATGCTATCCAGCAAAATGGTAGCTCATTTAGGCCTATGCACACTAGTTATCCTGTTGCTGGCAGAAGCTTAACACCAACAGGATCACTATAGGGGGTAAAGAAACTACTTGCCTGTTTCTATAGCATTGCTCTGTATGGGATGGGATATTCTGCAGCACTTTGGCTAGTAAAGGAGCGACACAGTAGTATCTGGTGAGTAGTTTCTTGCCCCCTCTATGGATCCTGTTGCTGTAGATTTGGCGGCCGCTGTCAGAATACAAAGGAAACAGTGGCGGATTCCTCAATCAATGCTCCTAAGCGTTTAAGGAGGAATCGGTTCTATTTTTTTCGTTCAGCCTGCAAGTTGAACAAAAATGAACAGAGTATAACCAGCTTAAGAATTGGATTATCTGTCTGGTTTTTATTGCAGTCTGTGTCTTCTGCAAAGATTCCCCCTCAATTCACTATCGCCAGCATAGATAATAAGGGGAAAACAGAAATATTACTGTTACCAGAACAGGAGTAGAGGGGGATAGCCTTTTGCTCTGCTGATAGCTGTCAAAGGTAGGGAACAAAGGATGAGTCTCTGTGGAGACTTCTACTCACATCAGGTTGTGTCTATGGAACAGGAAGTGCGGGGAAATTTCAGTGTGGATCCAGACAGCAATAAAGACTTGACCGGTTGTAACCCTTCCCTCTATCCAAGACTAAATAACAGCCATTCTGGCTGGAGATCTAGTTTAATAAGTACACATATTGCCTGCCATTACTGTTTATTGACGCATAATATTGAATTCTTTTATGTACTGAAGATTCAAGTTTATTTTCCCTCTTTGTACACTTCTTGCGATCAATATAAATGGCTGCCTTTGTTCATTGTAGTCATTTTCTGGGAATGCCACCAAATTTGGTACTGGCAGAGCTTGTGCAGTATGTGACCACTTCTAGGGCAGATTCAGATGTCTCCTGTTTAATTGGTTTTGCTAAATGAAATATTCTCGCTTTTACAGACTTGTAAAGAGACAACAGATGTCGGCGCACTCACTAAAGCTGCAGATTTTGTCCGAGCGTTTATCCTGGGCTTCCAGGTGGAGGTAGGTTTATTGATATACAGAGAATGCAAGGGCTGGCTGTCTCATATCATGTGTAGATAAGAAAGCTTCTACAATGGCTGTAAAGAAACCATTAATACTGGGGTAGATTGCTGATTTGAAACTGCTACATCCCTGGCTGCCAAGATTGTCCGTCTGCTTTCAGTGTTTTCTGAGGTAATGACTGCAACAAATATCGATCGAGAGCTCTGCCCTCCGTTTTAGTTGCTTTATACTTTGTTCTGGTTCAATAACTCGCATATATTAGAAGCCCAAGACAGCTGAGCAATTTGCTTTAATCCTGGAACTGCCTTGTGTCACTTGAAATGAATAAAGCTGGTATAAAGTGCAGGTACCTGAAGGTGAACATACCACAGCAAGTTTTACATGCTTGCCACACTCCTGAATACCGGGATATTCTGGCCTTCAGGTGTGCAGCAGACAAGTAAAACAAAGCTCCTTCAGTTCTGGGCAATGTTGGGGCTTGCCTGTTCCTGCTGCATGCCCATTGTCCAGTTAGCCCATTACAATGATGGGCTGCCCTATTAGCCTATAGGAATGTGTGGAATGGGCTGGGCAAGCAAAGTTTCTGGCATTCAGCTGTACATGCAGCTATCAAGCAACCATCTTGCAGGTATGTGTGGGAATCTCTTGGTGCATGTTTGTTTTGTTTTTTTTACGTGTGGATGAACTTTACTGGTTGCATGCTTGTTGCAGATCAGTGACTTAAAGTACTGAAATGGACAACCATTCAACTAGCGTTTCAGAAGTAGAAAGGTCAGCAATCTCCATATCTCTCTACGGGTTTCCTTTAGGGCAGCAAATGATCTATTGGTGTCATTGCCGTTCACTTTGGGAATACCTTCTCCCCCTATAGAGACATTGCTGTAAAACGTTAGTAAATCTTCAAGGGGTCTTATTACATCTACTGACGGCCACACATTTTTAATGCCAGGAAAAAGATTATAAAACTTTATAGAAACATCTGAAACTTACAGTGGTTTATGCGAGAGAAAGAGGCCATTAAACATTCCCTATTGTAGTGAGCTGGAAAGTTATACAGTGTAGATGTTATTACCTGAAGAACATAGAGAGCCACATTCAGTTTATATGTTAAAACTACTGATGGCCGTAGAGAAGAGCTGCATTCAGGCCAAGAAACCCGTTTCACATACCTTCTCTCAATTAAAAGTGCATAGTGTTGGGAATTGTAGGCCAGTATGGACATTCTGCAGCTCTTAAGGCTAAGACCACAACCAGAGTCCCACAGTGGGTTGTAAGTACCCCAATGAATATTGATGGCGGACATGTTGTGGTCTTGGCTTTTAAGGGCAGACTGTCCATGCTGGTCCGGGATTCTGTAATATTGCAGCTTGTGCCATGTTTGTGTGCAGTGAACACCAGTTCTCAGTTTGCTTTAGGTGAGCATGGTTCTCCTCGGTTATGAGGTTCAGCGTTTGGAACTATGGACTTCTCAATTAAAGAATTTAAGCATTCTTAACAAGCAGCAAATTAACTTTAAAGCATGCCCTAACTGACCTATGTATCTTAAGGTATTGAGAAAATCATCCAGGGTATCAAAGTTCTACTCTCAGATCTGGTCATCCTGCCCCCCCCCCCAGCAGAGCGAGAATGCAGGGGGAGCAGAACTGCTGAGAGAACAGCTTGAATAACTTCCGTTGTTAGTTTTGAGGATGAATTGCTCCACAGCTATAGAGGATAGTGAGGGCCTGTTTCTTACATAAGTGGAAGTTGCTATTGAGGGCATCAGTTGTAATTGTATTGCAGTGTATTTGTGTTTTTAGTAAGTTTTTTTTGTTTTTTCACTTTAGGATGCCTTAGCTTTGGTTCGATTAGATGACCTCTTCTTAGAAACCTTTGAAGTCACAGACGGTAAGCTGCAGATATATTTTTTTCTCCCATATTTACACAGTATCCATGTACTTTGTATTGTGTTATCTAGCATAGTCATACACATTCTACAGGCTCACTAGTGGGCCAGTATGCCTTGAACCTGTGGGAAGAAACCCAGCTTGACATGAGTTGAGCACATTAACACTTTGCTGGCAGGGTCTGGTTGGGTTTGAGCCCAGGATGAAAATGCTGCACTATAGCCTCATTATTCACTACCATTTATCTTTTATATGGAGGATGCTGCTGTTTATCTTGTTAGTATTTCAGATTCTTTTTACAATCTACTTTCTTCCCATTCCAGTTAAACCTTTAAAAGGAGACCATCTTTCTCGTGCAATTGGCAGAATAGCTGGAAAAGGAGGAAAAACGAAGTTTACCATTGAGAATGTTACAAGGACCAGAATAGTTCTTGCTGACTCGTACGTATATATATTCATTTCCTGCATAAAATCAGAGCTGCCTTTTGACCCTGTTGAATAAATTGTTTGTACTTTGTAAACTGCACCCCTTTTGGTCTTAAATCTGGGGGGGGGGCTGCCCTCACATTGTAAGGATTTTTTGGTTGCTCCAGTCTAGGTTACCTGGGAAAAAGGACTCTTACCTGATCCCCGCAGAACGCTGACTGCTGGGGGATCAGGTAAGTAGAACTGCTTTTCCTAATACCCTAGACTTAAACGAGCTGGCAGACGGGGAGAGACACAAGGTAAGTCCCATGGACGCAGACACCGTGGGACAGGAAGTGCCAGCAACCACAGAGTCAGCACTGGATCGGAGACCCGTCGCAGCATTGGTGAGAAGGCTGAAAAGGACAGGAAAGATCAGATTAAGAGACATCATTTAAGGTAAGTGTTTACATTAACATTGGGGGGAGGGAAACATTTTTATCCTTTAATGTCACTTGAACGCCACTCCGCAGCGCTGAATACTGAAAAATGGCCTGGATGGGAAGGGGGTTTAACACCGCGGATGTCAACTGGTTAAAGAAATCTGGAAAAGTAAGTGAAAATGTTTGAGCCCAGAAAGCCCCACCTGTTTAAGGGCCTGTTCACATGATATCAGGTGCGGATCTGCAGACGCGGTGCTTACTGATGGTGCGTTTTTGATGCGTTCTTGGTCTTCCCGTAGCAGTCAGGCAAGCGCTATGGCACAGGTTACTTACTGGTCTTTGCCAAGGTAATTCAACCATAGTTGGCCAGAATGTTTCCCAAGTGAACTTCCTCTGCATATTTAACGTGATTGGTTGCCAGAGGGAGACCAAATTAATGTTATTGCCGCTCTCTGCCTGCTTATAATGTAACCAAGCTGCCACTGTATTGGTCACACAATTACTCACCAGCGGAAATCTAAATTCCAGTTACTGGCTAGCTGTGCTTGCAGAGCACTCAGCAAAGCCGGATCTGTGTTGGTCATGTGACTGTTTGCCAGCACCCAATTACTGGTATTGGCTATCTCTGCCTGCCTATCACTCAGCCATGTTGGCTCTACATTGGCCAGATGGAGGCTAGCTTCCTCTGGTTAGTACAAGAAGAAGCACAAATTCAGTTTATTTGTCATGCAGCTTCATAAACATCATTTACTAGTTTTTGCTGAATCTTTGTTAGGCTATAATAATTCCGTCTAGACGTCTGCTTTTCACGCTGACCAATCCTACAGTTGGTATCTGACTTTCAAGGCAGAATGCGACCATGAAAATATCCTTTTTGTGTGTTGCCACAGGCACAGAACAGTGTCAGCGCAGGAACAGACCTATTATGTTTAAAAGCTTGTTCTCTGTTGATGAAGATTGAAGATCGTCCCTTGCAGGAAACTTTCCCATGACCATAAATGGTGTGGAGAGCTTTCAGAAACGTGTCGGAAGCCCCGGACCGACCTGACTTTGAGTTTTCCACATAAATCTTTTCCATCGAAAGCTCTAATCTCCTGCTTGCATGTTTCTTTTGGTTAATGCACATGTATTGCACATCCTAGTCAGGTGAGAGGCTTGCTGGGCTGAAGAATAATTCATGCATCACTGCTAGAGGTTGTATATGGAAAGTACTCCGAGATGAGAATAAGAGTTCATTCACTAACTTTACAAAAGCACTTCTTCAAAGTAGAGAATATTTACTATTGGGCTGCATGAAAGACAATTATTACTACTACTCTTCCTGTTCCTATTGCTTTTACTGTTACTAATTCTACTACTATTGCTATTACTGCTAATGCTATTATTGGGGTGCCATTTAAAATGAATAGCAATGCACATGTACAAAATGTTATAGAAGTCTTCGCAGTCCTGACCGATATAAACCTGTGCTCCTCAGTTGGGCGCTGCAGTGACTGCGGATGGTGCGACGTGTAATCAAAGATAGAAGTCATCGGCACATCAGCCTCCACTTTACCGTTCTTTCTTTATTGACATTGGATAGTCATAACATCACATTGAAAGGTAACATTTTAGAACCAATGTGATGTTACGATTATCCAACGTCAAGTGGAGACCGGTGTGCCGTGACATCTCCTACCACAGACTTTGACAGCTCACTCCTCTTCATTTCTGACCACAATCTGTAAAGGAGATGGCCTTTTGATTGACAGCTCCTATCTCACTGTTTCTGTTCTTTTCCCTACACAGAACAGGGCTCTCCTCCCAGTTTAAGTGCCTGTGTCAGGATGGAGAGCGTTGAGTGGAGGAGAGCACTATGATCTGTCACAGGAGGCAGAGCTCTGCGCCTCCCAGTTCCGCCTTCTGTGTCGGGCTGGAGAGGGGTGAGTGGAGGAGAGCGCTGTCATCTGTCACAGGAGGTGGAGCTCTCCTCCCGTGTCAGGATGGAGAGAGACTGCTGTGATCGGTCACAGGATGTGGTGCTCTCCTCCCCCACCGTGTGCTCGGCCTCCTGTGACAGCCAATTCAGGATGGAGAGCGGTATACAAACTCTGATCAGCTGATCGTTAGTAAGCACACTATGTTGAGTTATCTACAATTTCCCAGTTATGAATGAATGGGAAGTGATCTACATCACCTCCTGTTCATTTATGATTGTGGACTTAGTAACTCATACTATATACACAATATATGACTGGACAGGAGCACTCAGTATAGAGGATTCCTGTTATTTTAAAAGGGAAATATCAGGGGTATGTTTAGATCCCTAATATTTCTCGGGTCCCCCGCAGTAAAAAAAAAACACTGTTTCAGTTTCGCCTGACAAATTGTTTTATTTTCTGTCTCAAAATTCCATTTCGGTGCATCTCTAATAACCTTATTGGGCTTTAGGGTGCTAAGCCCATTCCTGCAGCTAAGTTTCTAACCCTATGCTGTATCATTTTATGACAATCAGCTGATTGTTTACCATTATTTTTGTTCGGGCAGAAAAATACACATCCTGGGGTCGTTTCAAAATATTAAGATGGCGAGAACAGCAATTTGTAACCTCATTCTGGGTAAGTGTGACTGTCGCTGCACATTGTAGAGGAGGGAGAGTTTCAGGTGGGACTATAAAACTTTAATATAATTGGAAAGACAACTGTTAACATTTTTGTGGCTCTTTCATAACCAACAGGAAGTCCACCATCTAAAGTATATGGAAACATTCGTGCTGTGGCAAGCAGAGCAGCTGATCGTTTCTAATGTGGCTGGCACCATGTCTGGATTGCTGCTAACCTCCGATCGTTTGCAGATGACAACTTGTTGCCTGTGTCAGTTCAGCAATGGGGTTTTAGAAGCGTGTGGATGAAGATGTGACCGACCCTATTCAAACTTTAACATAAAAGGACTTTGCGTCAAGCAATAGCCGACTTTCTGGCAATCAGTAACCACCTGAAATATGCCCTCCTTATCAAATACAGTTTTGCAGCTAATTTAAATAAATGCTGATGGACATAACACATTGACTTGTAATGTGCAAACATCATGTTCTAAACCCAGTACTTGCCAGCTTCTTCTTGGTGTGTTGTGTTGGGGGGCACAAAGAATGTTCTCTGTAATCCTAAGAAATAGAAAGACTGAGGTCTCCATTAGCAACACCTGAATGAAATATATATCAAATATAAAGCTGAACTTCTGGCTGATATGACGCAGATAAATGCAGTTCTGTATGTACCTGAATTGTATGTGGCATCAGCCTCTTGCAGTCTCTGTACAGCAGAGCTCAGATTGGGAGGAAGAAGCGGCACACAGCACTGGGGAAGCTAAACATTGTCACCCGGGGAAAAAGGCTGATTGCTCGCCCCAAGGGAGAAGTTCTCCATTCACACACCCAGTGGCTCCTCTCCAAAAGCAGCACCCAGGGCGGGCACATGTCCGTCCCCCCCCCCCCACTTTGGCCGAGTCACAGACTAGGGGAGGGATAAGACTGGTAAGTGTTACTAAACTAGCAGAGAAAAATCAGTTATCCTACCCTGCCAGACAGGTCTTCACTTTGTATATTTCAGAACTGGAAGGATGGAATACAGCGATTTCATATATTTATTGTGCGGTGTGTCTGGAGTTCAGCTTCATGTTTTTAAATGTCTTCCTAAAGGTCCTGCAAGGCTACATTCACATCTATGTCATAGGGAAATGTATTACAATGCTGCTTGTGGCAGATTCCATCAAGATGCATCTTCCACGGAGATACATGGTACGGCATGTAATATGCAGTGCATAAAACATTGTTTTGTCTCCATCCAACTGATTATTATGTTGGCAAGTAAACTGTAAGTTCACTATTGAGAAAAAAACCCTTGTGTGTTCCTTTTTGTCACTATAAACTGAGATCTGAACAACTTCTGTCAAATTTTTAAAAAGTTTAGCAAAAAAAAAAAGCTATTCATGCCATAAACCAACATAATAGTCCTCTTTCCTTGCATGGCTGTGAATTGTATGTCGGATATGAGAGCCAGCCATCCGTAATTAGTAACGTATTGGAAGTCATTTACTCTTCAGCTAAACATTGATCTGGGTTCAAAGGGTTATGAAATGCATTCAATTTTGACTCACCTGGGAGAACACTAGACCTCGGAGACTGCAGTACTGATTAATCAAAGTGTCAGTACAAAGAATTGGAGTCATTGCAAAACAGCCACCAGTCAGATTTGAATTTGATGGTTGTGGTAAAGTAACAAAATGTTTACACCTTGTGTACGTTTTGTGTTTAGATTGCTACCTCGCAAGCCACTGATTTGGACTAGGCATGCAGTGGGGCTACCCTTGCACTGCAAGGGTTAAGTGCTTGTTAAAAAAAAAAGTTATACTCGCCTAATCCTTAGACCAGTCCCTCCCGCCTCACTCCACCTCTGCTGCAGCAGTCGTAACGATCCTTGAGTCGTCACCTTCTATGCACTGTGTACAGGATGTGAGGATGCCGAGGGACACCAATGTAGTGGAGGAGGAGACGGACTGGAGAAATCCCCGTCACAGCCGGCCATATCCAAGGTTGAGGCGATTATAACTTAACTCTTGCAGTGCAGGGGTAGCCCCACTGCAAGGGTTAAAGGAGAATTACACTCATCCCCATTATTAGAGCTGACGTGACACTGAAGCTGTCACATGTCAGCTCTATTGATCGGGAACTGAGCGATAACATACCACCGATTGCTCAGTTCCAGTTCATCTCCCTGCAGAGTGGTGTATGTCAGTCAATCTCTATATGCTGAGTTTTGGGTCACAGGAGGACATTAGTATTATGTCCACCTGTGACAAAGAACTATGGGGGGGGGGGGGGGAAGTTTGGTCATAGTTCTTTTTCAAAGTTAGGTTCCAGTAAGAGATAAAACACTAAACTAGTTATTAAAGGAGAACTATGAGGCGAGGGCTTTTCACTGAGCCTCATAATCTGAGCCGACCTGTCACAATGAAACTGTCATAGGTCGGCTCAGTAGATCGGGAAGTGAGCGAACACATGCCGGCGCTCACTCACTTCTCGATCCTGTCACTCCAGAGAGTCGTGACTGGATTTTCCCCTCCCCTGGCGCTGCCTCTGGATAGGCAGAGCCAGCTGTCGCTCATGCAGCTGGGTGGATCCGGACAGTATTGTCGGGATCCGTTTCAGCTGCGGCTCGCGGTATACTGAGCTTTGTTTTAACAGGAGGACGATAGTTTGTGTCCTCCCGTTACCCTTCGGAGAACTATGGGGAAAAGCCCTAACCCCATAGTTCTCCTTTAAATGTACCTTTTTCATTGTCCATCAAGGGACAAAAGAATTCAGAAAAATTTGGGTTATACTGCCACCTACAGGAGTTGGGCACCATGGACAGAACAAGTTGTAAGCTAGCCCCCTTTGCTCCACTTCGTGGAATTCATCCCTTTGTCTTTAATCAAGATTCCTTGCTATACCACCACTTCAGCTAGTCTGTATAGTAGCCACCCAGATTGCATTTCCTCAGCATGAGCTTTGGAAGATGTACACAGACACTGTTGGAAGTGCATCCTGGAATGAGACTTTTGACAACTGGACTTTACATGGTGTCGCTTTGCAGACCTTTGTGTACTGTGGTAGCTGTGGAGTACTTTCCAGGTCTGGAGCTATAGCACAGCCCCAGGTGTGACCCTGTGTCTGAAGACTTGCTTTATGAGTGAGGCTGTAGGACAGTGAGCTACCTCACTGTTGGCACCTTTGCAATTGCCCGTCTGTGCCATTTTTTATCACGGTAGGCCTATGGGATTCAGCGCTGACATCATACGCTAGGTAGAGTACTTTGTGCTCTTTCCCACCATTCAGCCTATAGGAAGCACCATGTGGATCTCAGGTTAGGTTCCACTGCCCACCTACAGTGATGTGGCCACCCCCAGCTCAGCTGCCTGAGATCCTCATCAACACCGGCTGCCCAGATATGCGAGTGCTCGTCTCACATTGGGCCTCGTTGCTTTGCCATTATGCTGTGCAACATGTCTTCACAAAGACACATAGGACAGTCCTGCAAATACAGATAACCTCTGCCCCTACTCCCATAGTGGGTCTGGGGGGTGTTTACCTGGTATACCCAGAAGGAACCAATACCTAGAATCACTATTGTTATAGGGGGACATAATCATCCAAGTCTGTCAGCTCTATCCAACTGGGGCCAAAGCCACCCCCATGTTCACAGGGACCACCACGCTTCCACTCTGAACTTCTGGTTTGTGCCCAGTTACTGGAGCAGTCGGCCTTGAGGCTATTTCAATAGAGACTATTTTGGGGTCAATGCAATTTGCTGTAGTTGACCTAGACGTACAGGGGATTGTTTCAAACCTTATTGGTGCAATGTGTATTACCTTGCATCTGCAGGATCCGCCTTCTGTTCCAGGCCTTGGGTCTTGTTAAGCTCCTAAAGCTGCAAAGACCTTTCCGCTTCACCCACTATTTTAGTAATTGCTGTATTTGGACTGGAAACACCCCAAAGGGTCCTGGGCCCCGTGTGAGATTCTGGAGGAAACCTGCCCCTTTGAGAAGGGATTTGTAAACTGGTGGTCTGTGCCCACTGTCAGACAATTGAATTCCCTCTTTATATCCGAAGTGATATAACCCTTCCTATTGTGTTGACAGTAACCTTGACCTGTCAGGATGGGTAGAAACCTTTAAAGAGGACCCCTCTACCACAGAGGTATGCCCCAGTTTAAACAGAGCGACTGGTGTGAAACCTTGTGCTTTAGCTGTGAGGGCTTATTATAAGACTCAAACTTTGTGTCTCGTATTGGACTGTTTATACAGATGCAAAGGGCACTCCGGCTATGTGCATGGGATGAGGTCATCTACTTTAGCAGTGAGTGCTCATAGGTCTTCAGGGCCTCTCAGACATCAGGTACTCCTTCTGCATGAAGGTGTGCCCCTACTTCAATTATGGTTGCATGTACATTTGGACTGGTTCTTGGGTAGTTTGCCTCCCTGGCCTTTGGGTGCTCAGGGCACCCCTTTGATCCCAAAGAGGTGTCATCCTTGTGTATGGCACCTCCTTCAGCTGCCCCTCATCTCCCTCCATATGCTACTGCACTCAGTTTTTTTTTCCTGGGCTTTCCAGAGGTCCCCGAGACCCCCTTTTTCAATGCAGGTGGAAGCTTGGCATCGGATGTTATATGCAAGGATTTCACAACCATGAACAAGCATGCACGGGTGCCTCCACAGCAGCTACTTAGTGCTGGTGTCCCCCGT